GCTATTTAACAGAGGATAGACATTTGAGTTTTAATTTAAAGATGCAGACTATCCAGTTGTCTTCTATACACAGATACATAGAGCAGTGCATGTCTACTGACTGTAGAGAGGTGTTAAGATATTTCTAAGTACTTACGCCAGCATCGGGGGCAGCACTCCCCATCAGGCACAGTGGCATTGGAACAAGGCATGAGAGGGCAAGACACTTTCCGGCATATAGTGGCAGAGTTCTGTAAAGAATTGAAAGCATTCAGTAAGCAAGCAGGATATAAAGCATACCTCTGGAGTCTAAACTCACAGCTGATAAAGTCAGATGATAAAGAGGCCCTTTGTGCAGCACTTAAAGGCTCACCTAGCACATCTAAAGTAGAAAACCTTGTATTTAGAGCTGATACAATTCAAGAGTAGTTCCTTCCAGCTATTCTTACTCCATCTTCACCTCATTCCTACCATCCATCCATACTATTTCCTTCTCAGTTAAGCAGTTTTGTTTTGAATAAATTGGTCAAGGATGACTACTAGAAACAGGCTAGAGTAAAGGATTGAGTAAAGAACTAATGCTGTACGATTCCCAAAGTATACGTTCAGACTTCAAGGGAAAGAACCAAGAAGTCAGCTTTTCTGTTAATACGGATTTAAGCTGATTACATGGTGAACATAAAATGAGTTCAGTGGACTTGGCTGAGGAGCCTTAAAAATTTATAACTTATACTTAAAGGTCTTTGATCTTTAAGCCAAGCAGGCAGGGCAAGAACACCCATCTCCAATCTCAATGAAAGATGAAGTGTAGTCTGTAGTTTTGTTTCTTGAAGGCAGTAGCTTTGTCCAAAGAATGCCCTTGTGATAACCCTTACAAGCCCTCTTTTTCCCCAAGCAAATGACTATATTAAGGCAGATACGGATAACATTGAATAAGAGGGTTGGTGGGAAGATGAGCAAAGGCAGAAGTCACAGTATCACATGCTGCATGCAAGACTGGAGATAGAAAGCTACAGAAACAAATGCAGATTTTTGTGAGTTGCCCTGTACTGCACATCTACAGATACTCAGCCTTTGGCTTCTAAACAGAGGCAAGAAAGATCAGACACTCTTTGGTAGACTGATACTCTGAAATGTTTTGCTTATATATACTTTAAGTATTAAAGCAGAACAAATAATGAATATCTTGTCAGGATACCCTAGATTTACAGAGCTCAATTGAAATCTGGAAAAAAAGTTTCTGTTGCATGTGATCTGTTAAAAGCCTACAGGACATAGAAGCCTTCATTATATAATGAAAAAAGGTGTAAGTTTAAGAGCCTTTACTGAGGACTAGAATCTTTTCTGGTAAGCCAGGATGAGGTTCACTGAGGATAGAATATCCATTTCAAGTATTTTGGGGAGGAAATATGGTAATACTGTTTGGTCTTTTAATACTGACTTGTAGATGTGCACATAGATTACATAGAAAGCAGAGGTATTCCCCAAATTCTGAAATTGAATGTCACTCTCATACAGATATTAAAAATGCATTTAGTGTAATTCTAAATTACTGCTGCAGTAATACTATACAAAAGTTGTAGTCATATAAGAGATTTAATGGGTAAAAAAGACAAGCTGAATACTTTCTCTGGGTATGACAGGCCCCATTCTGTGTAGGATTTGTTCAAACAAAGAACGTCATTTAGAATTATCTGTTAATTTGAAGTCATGAATTTATATGCAGAGAACTTATGAATGCAAAGAATCTTACCTGGCAAGTACATTCAGTGCAGCTGTCAATAGTCCACTCTTCCTTATTTTTGTGCAAGATCCCATTATGAATGCATACTCCAGGAGTGATCTGAACCACTTTGGCAATCAGTTCATTTTCTTCAGTCTTAAATGGCAGGTGTCAGGGGGAGGGCAGCAGAGAGATGATATTTAGAAGTTAACACAGGAAAAACACTTCCACAAATTCATAGCAAGAGTGAAGTTATTACCGTTTATCCAAGCTCAAAGGACAACTTACACTTCTTTAAGTGACAGATAAGACATACTGTGAGTATAGCAAACACTTACCACTTTGCGAACTCTGTCTTGAAGTGTTGTAACCATGGACCGTAGCCCTTGCAGTTCTACAAACATGTTAGTTAGTTCATCACAAGAAAAGCCACAGACTGCTTGAATGTCCTTTGTTTTATGGCCAATGTAATTGGTGCGGATAGCTGGGCTGGAACCATTCATGGGGTTGTCCAAAGTAATGATTGCACTAGTAGCTAAGAGACAAGAAAGTTTACATAAAGTAAATGCATTTTTTTGCCACATAGATTTATAATTCCTGGGTAGGACTTGTTACACAGCTACCACCAGATTCACTAGAATATGTCCAGAAATATTATTTCTTATGCAATGTAGATTTGAATGTCAGCATACTTCTGAGTTCTGTTTCAGCTTGTCTTTCTAACGTACTTAATAGATCATTGGATTCAGAAGATTGCAGACTTACAGCTGGAGCAGCCTTTGTTCCTCAGAATAGTTTCCAGAGTTGTTCCGAACACGAACCGTACATTCTGCAACAGTCCCTGTGGAAAAAGAAAGAATTGCAGCTACCTGCAACAACTGCAAGGGAAAGAAGGGTAACTTGCATGGAGAGAGCCTGTAGACAATAAAGTTCACCTAAGTTCATCACAAGTAATTTCACAACAGACAGATGGCAAGGTGAAACATGTTAATTTATTCTCCTGAGTGAGAGCAAGCCCTGCTTCCTAACATTCTCAGTCTTGACCACAAAGACCCGGCAATTCGCCAGGCAGGAAAGGAAAAAAGCATCAGTTTCTCAGTCTTGTATAATAAGTTGAGCAATCAAACTACAACCACCTGTCCAGAAGCTTTGGGATCTACTGCTGCATAAAGTTCTCCCCGCAAATCTAATGCTTCACACTTCAAGCTGCATTGATAGAGGTTAGTAAATTCAGAGGTGGTCCACATGAGATGTACAGAAGCAGAATCTTTTCTCCCGTTTCCTACAATTTTCTAGCTGTTTAAGTTGGTTGAATAATGTACTTTCGAGGTGTATGACTGAAAATAATACACAAAAATGCAAGGAAAAATCTTACCTGGAAGTTGTCATTGACTCCCCCTTTGGCAATACGGAGCCTGGCACTGCTGGCCAGGTCCCTGGTGAAAATGTTTTGAATGGGAATGTCCAGTTCAGCATTCTCCATTTTCTCACACCCCACATAAAGCTGAGCCCGGTCTTCTTGCACAAACAAGGTGATGTTCTTCCAGTGTCCTGTAGCTAACAAAGCATCCTCTACAGACACCAGCTGCTGCTTGCCGTCACCAGAGAGGCTCAGGTCCAAGGTGCCTGCCTTGCCGTTTGAAACTAGACTGAAGACATGACCAGAGCCGTCTTTCCGTTCCACAGCCAGCAGCGTGCCTCTGCTCTTCTTGGCTTGCCGGAGAGTGGCCAGAAGGATGAAGCCCTTCTCAGCATGGATGATATCTAGCAAGTCTTGGAACTTGGAGTCAGGGACAGCAGGGATGCGACTGGCATCTTCAATGCGGTAAGCAGGGCTGGAGGACTCCGGCCCCTTCACCAGGTGCACCCCAGGTGCCCGGCGCCCAGCTCCCTTGCGAATCAAGCCAGCGAGTTCAAAGAGATCAAAGACGCTGTCATCATCACCCCGGGACTCTGCAGAGAGACCAGAGTATCCACCGTAAGCCACGGAGAAGAAAAGGCTGCGAAACCATACATCTCTCAGGGCTTAACACACTGACTAGCGATGTTGGCACTACAAGGTACGCAGAGCACGGGCAGCAGCTCTCGAGGCAAGGCAGTCCCACCGGGAGCTGCGTGCGGCACTCCGCGCACATTCTTGTGAAGGAGCCAGGAGGCACGGGAGCGCCGGGTACCCGCTGAGTGACACCGAGGTAGAGGCACGCTGACACCTCATTAGGCTCTGACGGACGAGAAACGGCAGAGGCACGGCACACCGCAAGGCTCTCACAGCAGCCGCCCGGAGAAGGGACAGCAACCCCCTGCGGGGGCATCGGGTGGGCGAGATGCTCGAGAGCTTCTACTTTTGAAGGCTGCAGGAATTCCACGCCGAAGTTCCGTAACTAACTACCGCTCTGCTTAAAGTCTCTCGTTCGCCGAGCCGTGGCGTTCTGCCCCTCGGAGCCCCATAGCCACCCAAGGCGCGCTCCAGCCGACCCCGCCCGCGCCGGCCCTTACCTGCCGTGCGTTTGGCTTCCGGGCCGCCGAGCACCAGGAGAAGAACGAGAACAGCGGCTGGCCCCATGGCGAGCATCTGCCTCTGACCGACCTGGGAACGGCCACAAAGGAAAAGGTCACAGAGCTGCCCCGCCGCTCGGCGCGACGGGACGGGTGTCCCGGGACGGCGGGAACCGCATCAGCACTTACCTGCAGGGAGAGCGGGCGAGCAGCTCCCGCTACGGGCGAGCGATATCCTCCGGGGAGCGCGGCGGCGCCTCGGCGCAGAGAGCGGCGCGCTGTACAGCAGGGGTCGGCGCTGCCCGGTGCTCTGCAGATGCCGGGCGCCGCGCGCACCTTTAAAGGGTCGCTCGCATTCCTGGGCGCGCGGCGGGCCAATCGGCGGCGGCGGGGCAGGAAGCGGGAGGCGTGCGCGAGACGCGCAACGGTCGCAGACGGCGTTCCACAGAGCGGCCGCCGCAGGTCGGGGGCGGGGCCGCGTGCCGAGCCGCGCGCCGGGTGGCGCGCGGCGGCCGCGGACCTGCCGGAAGCGCCGCTTGGGGGCGCCCCGCGAGCGGTGTCGGCGGCGCTCGTCCTTCTATGGCGAGTCCCGGCGCCCAAACGGGTGGCCGCTGCTCCTCGGCCCCGGGCGGAGGAGCGGGAGGCGGTCGGGTCGTCGTCCAGACCGGGAGCGCGGCGCGGCTGGGCACGCGGCCAGGCGTCAGCCGCTCTGGAAGCGGCTTAGAAGCGAGCCCCGGCGCGGGGGTAGCGGTGCCCCGGCCTTGCGGTGCCGACACTCGGCAGCCCCCGGGGCACGAGCCCCAACGGAGAGAAAGGCGGGGGGGTGGGACCCTCCGTGTCTGTATCGCGGGGAGCTTTGTGTGAGATGAGGAACACCGAGCTGCGGCTGAGGAGCCGGCTGTTAGTAGTGAACAGAATGAATAACTGCTCCGGCCAGGAATGTCCCGTGTAACCAGATTTCAGGTAAGGGGAGAGCTCCTGAAAATGAGCGAGGCAGATTCTCTACATAATGTCCCACTCTATATGACTAAAAGTTACTTGGGTGTATGAAACGGCCCTAAAGTAATCGAATTCAAAATAACGGCCAGTTCCTCTGCCTTCCCAGGCCCTTCCGCATTTGGCATTTTCTCCTGCAGAAAGCCAAGCATCAGAGAATGAGAAGAATACATCAGCCGATGGCATGTGTGGTGAGGGGAAATAGGAGCACTCTTGGCAGCCCGAAACCCTGGCTGGACCGGGCTCTGAACTGAGCCGCACTGTGTGAAACACATCAGGCTGTTGGCCCGGCTGATGCACAAGGCACCAGTGCTCTGCGGATCATCCCAGGAAATGCCTTGGGAAATTCTTGACTTAAGGAACAAGATAGCTGCAGGACTGTGTACGTTAGGGGGAAGCCAGAATGAGTGTCATCCCTTCTATCTTAGGAAACAGAGCATGCCATCTGAAGCAGGCCTTTCGTTATGAAGTGATTCATTGAAGAAAAACCTCAAGTGCCACAAAATAAGCAGAGAGCAGGAAACAGGGAGAGATGCTGGCAATGAGGAGGAACCTGCTAGGGTATAAAAATCAGTAGGAAAGAGAGCAAGAGGGAGACACTGACCCCACTTGGACAAGTCTAAGCGTCACCTGGTTTAGTTCACTAAGCCCTATATGTACCAGTGGCTTCCTGTTGTACACTTGCACAGAAGTAAAAGGGACTGTATCCAGACCTTATTGCTCTCTACGGCTGCTTGGAAGAAAGCTGTTGTAGAACGAGGGTCAACCTCTTCTCTCAGGTAACAGCAATAGGAAGGAAAATAATGGCCTCAGGTTGCTCCAGGAGAGGTTCAGGTTGGATATTAGGAAAAACTTATTCTCTGAAGGAGGGCTGAGGCATTGGAACAGGCTGCCTACGGAGGTGGTGGAGCTGTCGCTGGAGGTTTTCAACAAAAGGGTAGATGTTGCACTGAAGGACATGATCTAGTGGTATAGTGGGGATTAATTAGTAATTGAGCTAGATCTTAGTAGTTTTTTCCAACCTTAATGATTCTATGATTCCAGATCCCTGAATCCAGAGGGTTCTGATCAAGCTTTTCCTCATGAATCCCTAAGTCAAGCTGAGGTCATGTTGAAAGCTGAAAGAGAATGTCAAAACTGTTTTTACAGTAAGTGCGGAAGTTGGGGAAAGAATCCAGAACCACCCACTTCAAAGTGAAAAAGAACATCCTATGTTTATCTCTTACTTTATCCAAAGGTGCATGAATGAACCTCCCATCTTTTGTCAGAATATTCCCTATGAGATGCTTGTAACCTCAGTGAATGGGCATTCTAAGCATGAGATGCTGATTGATACTTGAAAAAGTGTTGGAGCCTGTGGAGCAGTGGAAAGCAATGATAATGCCTTCTTCTAGGACAGGAGCATGCCTATGAAGGTATCTAGTTTAGAAAGCAATATAGAAGATTACTTACCCTTTCTGAAGACTGGTAACGCCTCAAAAAGAGCTCAGTCTCTAAAGAGAGATTTTGGCTGCTAACCCTTAACTGAGAGTGAGGTGGGGTGGACCCAGGTTCCATCCCTTCTGATCACTCTTGCTTGCACATGGCTTGCACCTGAGCTCCTTGGGTTGGCCATGCCTTCTCACTTGGTGCTCATCCATTGGTTCAGGCCATGACTGAGCAATTCCCATACAGAGCCCAAAAAAACTCATAAAATTCCTCATGACTTTGAAAAATAATCAAATTGAGATCCAAATTTTTCAATTTGGACATGTCTTCAAATTTTAAAGAATGATTTTAGAAACTCAAACTTGAAGTATATGAATAAATCAGAAATGCATCCCAATGACTGAGGTCAAAATCTGGCCCATAATTTTGCCGTGTCCAACACTTCCAGGTTCAAGTTTTTATCACAGTGTTTAAACCTAGCTCTGTTGACCTCTGTGCTGCTAATACCAGTTTACATTCTTATCACTGATACTGGAATTTCCATTAGGGAAGGGAGGACTGACTTGTTGAAACAGTTCTAGGGGAATTTACCTGCTGTCATTTGAATGTGCTCAAGAATGTGAACTGGGCTAAAACAGGTACCAGCTCTATAGGTGTTTCACATCATGAATCTGTTCCCTTTCTTGTCACGAGTCTTAGAATCACATCCTTTCACCATATCTCTCTGGGGTACAAGGTCCTCTTTTTACTTCCATTGAATATTCATTGCAGAATATTTTACAACTCCAAAGCTTGTTAGTATTGCTTTTGCTTTGAGACTGCAAAAATTGTAGCTGGAAATAAGTAAAAGCCCCACAGCAAGTATTTAGGACAACATTGGTAATGATTTCACTTCTTTAAGTGTGGTCTCACTCCATAGTAGTCATTGAATCAGTCAGAGTTGATGCATTCATGTTACTCTAACGATTTGAAAAATTAATTTCTATTGCAGAACCATTAAATTCATTGGTGATACATGCAGAACTACTTTGACTTTTTCAGTTGCTATACAGAGAGTAATTTCTTTTAGTTTGTAACAGCTGTTCAAGTGAAAAATGCTGGAGTGTTTTATTAACTCTTTATCAACTGAACAAACTGATTTTCAGGACGAGAGTTGGAACCTGAGTGTTGATAGAAGTATGGATTCTAATCTATGGATCTGAATCTAAAGATAAAGCTTTTCTTGCCCTGCAGTGGCTCACTTTCTGTACTTGTTGGGACTGCTTTTCTCCTTTCTTGAAGCATCATCTTTCTCAGCAGAAGAGCTGAAGTCAGAACTGAGCATGCTGCCATGTTATACTGCAGTGTTTCACATCCACATGGATAATAGTAAGGTTCAAGAAAGCGAATAGCGTATCTGCTCTGATTGTAGTGTGCAAATTTGTTGAAAATAATCAGTCAGTGTGGTTTCAAGTATGGCCTCAATCCAAGGTAAGCCATGAAGAAGTGTAGTTGCTATTATAAATGAACCTTTCTCTAGATTGGATTTGTCTGGAATCTTTTTATAGTGCTATCACCTAGCACACAGAAGTATAGACTTTTTCATTTAAAGTTTTTAATATAGAAAATAGAATCTTAATAACCTGTCCCGAAACTGTAATTTAGGGGTAATGATCTGGCTGATTCAATTTAGGAATTTCAGTGGAACGGTGCCACTGAAATGCATGGTATTAAAATAATTCACAGCAGTTTATCTGTTCTGTTTTAGGCACGCAGAAGAAAAGCTTTAAAAATGTACAATATAATTTCTAATAAATGTGTAAAGTACATGAAGATAAATTTAAATATAGAAATAATGAGCAAAAGAGATTATGAGTTTGGTTGTTACTATGATCATCATCATTCCACAATTTAGCAAAGGTCTAAAAAGTTTTTTCATGCTGCGCAAAATTCCTTTGGCTTGCTTTCAGGGGGATTCATTGCACTTCCCATCTGAAAACAGACTTGGGTTTGCTGGTTATGTCCTTCCTCTGTTAAAGAGTCTTCAGAAGACCTTGTTTGTTTTAGGGTCAAACCTAAGCCTAAACAAAACTGCGAAAACAACTCGCAGTTTGGATTCAGTGCCTGAAGTTGGTTGAGGAAGATCTCACCAATTATGGCCTTCTGTGGCTGTGATCTGTTGCTGTTCCTGGTGCTGTCAGTAAAGATAATGATGGCTAGAGGCCAGAGGATGTAGGCACTTGTTGGAGGAGTGTGTATTTGAAGGCAGGACATAACCGTTCCCCAGTGACGTGGACTCCAGCTCATTGTTCTGTGGCAGATTCATCTCATGTCTCTGGAAGAGGCACTCTATGAAAACTAGTGTGAAAAAATTGCTTATACCAAAATACCTTGACAAGCAAACCATGCTTAGCGGTTCTGGTTCTCTTAGTGCGCAGGTGTATTCCCTATGCACAACACATCTGCCTGCATACAAAAATCAGATTGGATATTTTTATCTTTGAAGTATATGCTTTGAACATGTAATGGTAGGATTTTTGTACAGCATACAGTGTACATACAGTGGCATACAGTATTGTACTGCTGCATTACCAGAGAAGAAGTAAGGCCAATCAGTTGTCTTTAAGCCTTTTTCCTTAGATGAAATTTGCTTTTTTAAGAATTGTAATTTGAAGTACAAAGTGTAAACTGCTCCCCTACTGTATTCCTGAAACCAAGAACAGTCACTGTACTTCAACTCAGTTTCCTTTGTCTCTGCAGAAATAAAGAGGACAAAAAGCAGCATTCCCAGTGAAAAGACATCTTCATACACTGCCCTTGTCATCAATGGATCAAAGGTAACCTTAGATATAAGCACCTATTCTCTACCTTTGCAAAGTACTTCTAGCCAGTGAATCATTAAAGCATGTATTGAAATTCAAGCACATGGTAGAATTTCCTCGTTCTTGTTAAAATTCAGAGCATGCTTGTGGATGTGTGTTTTCAGATGTTCTGCTTAGTTGAGGTGAGCATAAGTACATGTGTTTATACATTTGCATACAGGACCTTTGATCCCATAAAGTGATTGAAAGCTGCTTATTTGCATGGCAGCAGTCTGTGACCCAGTGAGTTTCTATGTGTTGTAAACAAGCAGCTGCAGAGCTTATATTCCTTTTCGGGTAGTCACAGAGGAAAGAAGAAACTTCAGTTATTGTTCACCTATCAGAGCATCTTTCGTCTCCAGCATTAACCTTGTGTTACACAATCAGTCTGAACTTGATTGTACACAAGACAGAGCGTATACAGTTTACCCATGTTGTCCAATGACAGTGCTCTATCTCTGTGCTTTTCTTCTTTTAATTAAGCAAAATCAATCAATTAATCATGGGTTCAAAGCACTGCTCCTAATAATGCCTTTACTTAATATTGCATAATTTAAACATCGGAGAAAACGGCATTGAAGGATCTGTGCAACACACAGCTGGGTCTTGCTGACGGTGATGTGATAGAGAAAGTGAATAATGTATGTTAAAACATATTAAAAAGACTGTGCTGTCATTACACAACTGGAAAAAAAACATTTAAAGTAACTAACAGAAATGATGAATAAACAGTAATTTGTTCCTGGGAAGGAACTGTAATTTTCTACCAGGAAGTGATGTGCCTAGGAGTTTCTTAAAAGCCAGTTACTTAAAATTAAGTGCCTAGAAGGGACTGAAATAGAGAAGTAAAAAGCTTGTGCTATAATTTCTTAAGTCCCCTCCACTTGTCACAGTAGGTGAAGCTGTCTACTTTTTCACCTTTCATGAGAACTGATTGATAGAGCGTCCTTTGTCACAGTTTACGTGTGCTATGGACTTAGTCTAGATGAACAAATTAAGACAAATGCTGCTCTTTACTGCTGAGCTGCAAATAAGCAGTGCCAGCTTTTGGTCACTCCCTTATTCCTCATAAGTGTCTGCAGGGGTCTGACAGAGCAGCCGTTACACGATGCACACGTGTGGGTAACACTTTAGGAAGACTGGAAAAGTTCTGTCTCATTTTGAGGAAGGAGACTGAATAGCAAAACTGCTCACTGTAGTTATTTGCAGGCTTTTATTACAAACAATGCCTTGGGGGCTGGGAAGTAAGAAGTCTTGCCAACAGATTATTTTGAGCATATAAAATGATCTGTGAAGTTTACAACTAAGAAGCCTCGACACACCCCAGTTTAAACTCCCATGCACCCTACTACTTAATGGAACTGCAGCTGTGTGGTTTACATACATGAGATGGGAAACGCATAGAAGTTACAGGCACGTTTTTTCCAGTTTCTGATTATGCCTGGCCTTTTCTTTATCCCAGAGCTCATAACGGCAGCGTTGAACCCTGCAAAGACTTACTCATATGTCATTAGCCCTGTTGACTGAGTCACATGAATAAGACATAAATAAAATTCTTCAGGGTCAGGTTCTAATACTGCTCGATTTATGTGAGTCTGCTGTGACTCACATCTCCTAAATTCAGGTCACATATAGCATAATACATATAGCAATTTAAAGTTGTCTGCCAAATTGTTTCACATAATGACTTCTGGGAATGGGAGCAAGTTTTAAGGAAGTTGCATTTGCGGTGTTTGATGCTGCATTGTTGCGTGATCGCACAACATGTGAAGTAGCTCAAACCGTTCTGGAGAGGTTCATCCAGGAGATAACTGTGATGTGTAACACATACCTTCCTCTCTCCACTGCAAAAATAGAAGTCATCTTTCCCACCGTCCAGCTGTGACCATATTTACTTAAACAAAACTACTTAGAATATCTGAAAAAGGACACCCAGTAACAAGAGAGAAACCAAACTGTTTATGCTGTGGTGAGAAAAAATTTGAATGGCCCTTTTGAAGGCTGAAGATTTGGTCTTAAAAGATGAACTAAAGAACAAATGGTGATCTAAACAGTTCTGCCTAGATGTGTTTCCACTCAATATTGAAAAGTCCTCCAGGTAGCATCTGTGGGACACATTGGGGACTTAAATTTGCAGCCTAGCATATTATTTCATAGCTTCCCTTTGTTAAGGAGAGGCATTAGGTACTAGGAATGTAGACATCCAAATTATTTTATCCTTGATTTGAATAAAGTTGAGTTTGTAGAGGTAGAATTCTTTTGCTGTGTTTCCTAAGGAAATGAGGCATATGTGATGATGCTGAATGTCTATAGGTCTATATCTACATAGAAGACCACTTTCCTCACCTAATAACTTTGAATCTGTTTCCAAAGAGTCAAACAAAAATCTGTCAAAGAGTGGAAGTGTTAAGAAAGTTTTTGTAAGTCTCATGAAAATTGTCAGCTGTATAAAGAGAGACAACTCAAATTTCCAGATGTGACAGGCAGGTTATTCTGTAAAGCAGTCAGCTACTAGAGGGCCAGTCAGCTGCTCCAGCTGCTGTTTTTACTTACAAGTAGTCTCAGTCAGCCCCCGTGCTTACTTCCTTCTACCTAGACAATACGTAAGTGAAGTAAACAGGAAATTGGGAATAGATGGATATATGAGGTTGCTGTTATGAAAAGGAACTGGGATTGCTATGGACATCTCAGAGCAGAGAACTGAGATGGAGAGACATGCAACGAAGAAACACAAACTAATACTTGGTTGTATAAGAGATACTGTAGAAAGTATTTTAGAATGAAACCAGTAATGTAAGAGAAAGGAGTAGAAAATAGCAGAGATCTCAGATGAATGTCAGCCTAATCCAGTCTTCTGCAATTTACCAGGTTCAAGTCTAGCAGTCTGTCTAAGTGGTAATCGCCCAACCTGTAGTGAATCTTACATGCAGTTTGCTTATACCTCTCTACTTGTAAAGGTACTTCCATAATGCAATTTGGACTCATTTCTCCTTGTTCGTCCTTCTGCAGACACTGGGGCTGGTTGCTATTTCCTTACAAGCAATCTTTTACACTTGAAAGCCTGCTATCATGTCTTTCTTTGGTCTGCTAGACTAAACAAACCCCATTTCTTCATCAGTCATATTTTCTGAACCTTATTCTTCTCTTTGGACCTTGTCCAGCTTTTCTCCAGTGTTTTAGAAAGAGAAAAAAAACAGTAGCCAGAACTATATGCAGCATTCCAGTTGAAGCCTTATAGGACTTAGTGAAGAAAAATAATGACTCTTTTTAATATAGAGTAGTCCTGATGGCATACACTGGTGTAAGAGTAGCCTGTTTTTTCTTTCATTTAACCTTAGTTTTGCAGCAGTGTCATATTATGGATCTCTATTCCATCTGCAATTTAATGTAGGCCTCAAGTCCTGTCAGTGTTTTTTTGTTGTCTTGCCAGTTGTTTTCACTTTGTATTTGATTTCTTGCTCCTTGGTACAGGAGCAGACCTTTGTTGAGTTTCACCTTAGTTACTTTGCTTACAAGATTGCTGGTAGGGCAGAGCTCTTTGAATCTGAGCTTGACTGTAGCCAGTTTTACCAATGTATATGACAAATGAGAATCTGATAAACCTATCCTGAGTAAGCCAAGAGAGCTTATCTTTTTGGAAATTATTATCAGTATTACTTTATTTACAACAAAAGCATCTAAGAACGTTCTCATATAAAGAGTTGTATTATTCAATTGTGGGGATGAAAATTAGAGCTATTAGTACTAATAACAGTTTCAAAATGAGCCAGTGCAAGCTTTGCATCCTCACAAACCAGCCTTAACTAAAGCAGGCAAATCTGGCAAGTCTAATTTTCTGCAGAGGTGAAGGCATCCAAACTTGAAGGCTGTTCAGAAAAATACTGACCGAAGGAACCTTTCTGAAGGCATCAAGCCAAGGCAGATACTGGAACGTATTTTGAGTATCTATATCTACAAGTGCACATTATCCTGTGTCTTGGCAAAGTGTCTGAAGTAAAATATACATCCTACAGCTATGCCTATTAACTGCACTCTTTGTACCACAGCTGGTGCATGTCTTGCTCGCTCAGTGTGTGTGTGGAGCTAGCAGAAGACCATCTGCATTGTCCCTTTAGACAAATACTAAATCTTGCTTTTCAGTTCTGTCCCTGGTGGCTGGATGAAGCATTGTACTGCTTCACATTGGCAGTTTTTTTGTTTTTTTTTTTGCCAGCAATAGATGCTGCAATATGGAGATACTAACTGGAATTTTCTCTTAGGAGCTTTACTTGCCTGAAACTTCCCTTTGCAGAATGGTGCCAAGCATACTTGAAGACTGATTCATCAATATAGAGATACTCTTATAGATAGCCTAATGTTGCTTGCATATATGTGCATGTAGTATTCTTGCTCACATTCTTAGGCATGTACAGATCTAAAGAAAAGTCACTGTTGATCTGAAGAGTCTTAGACATTTTTATTTTCTAAATTTTTGCTTTTCTCTCTCATCACTGAATTTACTTGTCAAGAAAAAAGCTGTAGGCACTGTGTGAATTCCATCATACATATTTACCCCTTATGGCCCTTTCTGTGAACATACTCCATGAGCTAAGAATGCCAGCAAACCGAGTACTAGCTTTGTGGTTCTGAACAGCTTCTTGCTGTGCTGAAGAATGTTATTTAACATACAGCTCCAACAAAACCAGAGCTGCTAGAACATATTTCAGAATGCGAACAACAGCCAGAAACCAGGACTAAAGTACAGCTTTCTGTTCAATTACAGAATCATATGCAGATAAAACATGTCCATATTGTTTTTAATAAAGTACATATCCCCAAGGAGATATAAAGAGAGTATTCCTGTATTCCTGCTTTTAGTTAAAAATAGATAACAAGGTTAAAATCAGGAAGACATTTAGTTTTGGGATTAATAAATCAGCACGTAGCTTTTCAGTTCACCACATATTAGAAGCAGCCTGCCTACAAGATATTTATTT